AAATGACAGGATATAGCAGCTCTGGCGCTGGTGCTGTTTTAATGCCCCCCTAGAGACATTCTAGTGGCACAAGGGCCCCGGCCCCTCTTTGGAGCAGTTACCTCCGGAGCAGCGGGAAGACAGTCCACTGCAGGGTTAAGCACCTCCTGGCAGGCTGGAAAACCACTGGATTATGTCGCCTGGAAACTTTAGCAGATCTCACAGATGAGTGTGTAGTCGCTTGCATTTGAAGGCAGACATTGAGGTGGTTGGGGCTTTGTTTTTTGTTGGTTAAATAGTAAAATCAACCGTTTCCTTTGTGAATGTGCAATCTCATTAGAATAGACTCTGATTTGTGCCGTTTTATTAAAACCACCTATGCACAGACAGGCGGCTCCAGGCCTGGTGACCTCACAGATTGGGCCCACAGAGCCTCCGGCCTCGTCTCACCCAACACGTCGTGATAACACAGATGTGAGACGTGAGGCTGCATAAGGCAGGTAGCCGCTCCTCTCCCGTGCTGTTCTGGCCACCACCCCTGGTCCCAGGAAGGGAGTGTGCCAGCCCCTGAAAGCTGCCGCTGCTCTGAGGCCTGCGATCAGAGAAACAGAGGGTGCTCTGTGCCAAGCCCTTCATGACATAGAAACGCATTCTTCATAAAGCACTGGTTGTAGTTAAGCATTTGGTGCTATTTTGCATCTCAGTGTTTAGAGGGCACAGAGGAATTTTGAAGGAAATAATAAACCTGAATTTACTTTGATAATTTTTATCAGCAATAACATCAGTAACAATAATACTGATGACATTCCTGCTTCATGCCTGCTTAAATTTGTAAATGCAGAAGTCGACCCTGAGCACGCTACGTATATGAGCTCATTATGACAACCTGAAGAAGGAGTTAATCGTTGTCATCCCTGTTTTACAAATGGGGAAACTGAGGCACATTGCAATTAAATCATTGCTCAGGTCACATGCCAAGAAGTGGTCAGGCTGGGATTTGAGCCCAGGTAACTTATTGTAGCATGTGCCTGCTTGCAAGTGCTCCCCAACCCTGGCTTGGCTCTGGAAGCCTCTCCATGCACAGGGGAGCCCTTCTTACCCACTCCTGGGGCCGAGACCTTCCCAGACAGGTGTTTTTTGGCCAGACTCCCAGGTGACATTGTTTCACAGGCCTGTGAAACACTTTAGAAAGTTTTGTTCCTTTGTTCACACTTTAGAAAGTTTTTACTGAGCTCTTCACTTGCTCCTCAGAGGGAAGACCTTTCTCTCCTGCCTGCCTTCCATCCATGTGAAAGGACAGTGGAGAAATCTCCCAGAACATTCACAAGATGTTCTATCAACCTGAGAGACATTCTTTCCAATGAGCAACAAATATTCAGTTTTCATGGAAATATTTCTGTGCTGAGCTCTCATGGTATCATAGCAACCAACCTCAACAAGCACAAATAACAACCCCTAATTGACAAAGCCAATGAGCAGATCTTGGCTCATTTGAACTCTCATAAAGTTCTTTCATTTTTTATAGCAATGTTCACAGAACTGACTTTGGAGTCAATTCTGTGAGTCCTAGTGCAGTGTAGATTCATGTAACTTCCACGACCAACAGGATCCATTACACCCTGGAAAAGCTCCTACCTCAGCTCTCAGCAACTGCCAATGTGATCTGCTCCACTATGGATTTGTTCTTTTGAGAATGTGATGGAAGTGAAATCATGCAGTGTGTGTGACATTTTGACACAGGCTCTCTTCACTCAGCATAATGCCTTTGAGACCCATCTCAGTGGTTGCATATATCAGTAGTTCATTCCTTTTCATTGCTGAGTACTATTCTACCATGTAGGTATGTCATGCTTTATCCATTTACCAAAACACATTTGCGTTGTTTCTAGTTTTCGCCAAGTATGAATAGAGCCACTGTAAGCATTGGGGTACAGGTTTTACATGAATGTAGCATTCCTTTCTCTAGAGTAAATATTGCTGGGTCACATGTTAATGCTTGGTTAACTGTAGAAGAAACCCCTAAACAGCTTTCCAGACTACCCCACATCATTTTTATGCCCACTAGCACTGTAGGAGTTTTATTTGCTCCATATTCTCACTGCATTTGTTTTGTCAGGGATTTTGTGTCTTACCCACCCTAGCAGATGTGTAGTAATGTCTCAGTGCTGTTTTAATTTGCATTTTCCAAATGGCTAATGATGTTGAACATCTTTTCATGTGCCTGTGTGCTCTTTGGTTCATCCTACAAAATTTCTCTTTGGCTTGTAAAAATTACATTGGAGTTCCGATAATGCACATCTAGATTTGATTCCTTCACTTTTCATTTCTCTAAAGAAGTCTTTATTTTGCCCACATTCTTAGAGGCCATTTTTGTTGGGTATAGAATTCTGGATTGAAGTGATTGCATTCCATGCTTAGAAGAGGTTCCACTCTCTTCTGGTCTCCATGGGCTTTGACAAGAAGTCAGCTGTTAACCGAATTGTTGTTTCTCCCAATGGAATATAACAGTTTTCTCTTGCTGCTTTCAATATATGTACTTCATCTTTCATTTCCAACAGTCTGACTTTTCTAACACTTTGAGATTGTCTTCTCTGTATTTATTTTGCTTGGTGGTCATTTAGCATTTTGTAGCTTTATATTTCTGCCTATCAAATTTGGGATATTTAAGGGACGTGGTTTTTTAGACTTTTTCATCCCTGTTTCTCCCCTCCCCTTTTTTTGGTTAACATTTTTTTTGAAAATTCTGTAAAGATATCAAAGAAATTGATTAATCCCTTTTTTAATTTTTGAAGGAAAAATCCCCCAGAGTGAAATACCTACCACCCCTGATCCTCCCTCAGCTCTTTCTCCCACCACCAGCTGTTCTCTCTCTTACATTCCAGTTAACTGTATTTGGGGCTGTTTGGGATCATCTAATAAGTGCCCAAGGCTCTGTCCATTTTTTTTCAATTTTTTTCCCTCATTGTTCTTCACCATGGATATTTCTGGGGCATGCTTGACCCTTGCTTTAGGCTTGCTTAAGTCTCCTTATTCTTTCTTCTTTCATGTCCTTTCAGTTACAAAATCTATTCAGTGAATTTATCATTTCCAGAATTATACTTTCAGTTCTAAAATTTCCATCTGATTCATTTTTTATTGATTCTGTTTTTCTACTGAGAATTTGCTTCTCTATTAACTTTTAAAAATTTTTCTTAGAGGGTAATTATGACAGTTAATTTTAAATTTCTTACCTGTAAGTTCCAATATACTGTTCACTTTGGAATTGGACTCAACTTATTTTCTCTTGAGAATATGTTCCATTTCTTGAGTCTTAATATGTTGAGTGATTTTGGATTGTGAGCTAATCCACAGGGCACAGCAGACCTTTCCTCTCTCCCCACTGGTCACCTCAGCAGTGGATTTCAGTGGCTCCACCTCTGTTCTGCTCCGCACATTACAAAAGTGAGTCATGGAGATTCTGATTGCTATTATTTTTATTTCTGAAGGAAAAAAAATACCGACCACCCCTGATCCCCCCAGCCCTTTTTCCCAGCCCCACCTGTTCTCACTTTCATATTTTAATTTTAATTAACTGTATATCCAACTGCTGTGACAGCTGTTTAGTTTGCCTTTGTGGGAACCTCGCTTGGCTGGGCAACAGCTCCTCTCAGTTCTAGTCATGTGAGTTTATCTGGAGCACCTGAGTCTGTATGGAAATGGGTATGAATGGACAGAGTTTGGGGATCCCTTTTCTGGCTTTTCCTCTTCTGGGTTCTCTCCAGCGACCCCAAAGCACTGGGATAAAACTCTGGAAAGGGGGATTTACTTGTGTGGTCCCATCTGCCTTCCAAAAAGTGTGACACTGCATCAGTCTGTGTGCTGGGCCCACACTCTGCACCGCCAGGGACTTGGTTTGGTATAATTTCCAGGCGTGATAATTGCTTTCTGCAGGGAGTGAGGGGGGAGTGGAGGGCAAGGGTGCTCATTGATAGGAGTCTGTCACACCCAGAAGCAGTCATGAGTCCATGATGCTTACATTTCAGTCGGGAGATGAAGACAATAAGCAAACAAAGGTGACAACCATTGGACAGTGATGCCATGACAGAAATCAGTAGTGCTGCTATGAGAGTCACTTTAAGTGAAGCTATTAGGAGGGCTCTCTGGAGGTGGGACCTAGAGAATTGACAGATTTGGTCATGAGACAAGCTGGTTGAGAAATATTTCTAGTAGAAACCCTAAGATAGGAGACAGGGGTCAGTGTGACTAGAACATGGTGAGTGAAGGAAGATTTGATATCAAATGAGGTTGGAGGACCTCTCTGGTTGCACAAGGGATTAAATCGCAATGCTGTGAAGCTATCCGCAGCCACAGCAGCACGAGTTCGATCCCCTGCCAGGGAACTACCCACATGGCACAGCAAACCTCTCCTGCCTCGCCCACTGCTCCCCTCAGCAGTGTATTTCAGTCAGTCTGCCTGTTCTGCTCCCTACTCTGTCTCTGGTGAATCTCCTCCCCCCCACACACACATACCTCTGGCCTGTACCCCAGTTCTTGTACACATAAATAAATAAATCTCTAAAAAAAAAAAAAAAAAAAAAACGAGGTTGGAGTGGCAAGGAAGGTCACATGGGACCTGGCAGTCCTTGATACAGAATTGGGAATTAATGATTCTCCATAAGTAGCAAGGATTGTGGCAGCTGTAAGAAAATTCTCAATAGATGGGGCCACTTACATTGCATTGTCAGAGTCGTAGCCTTGCAGTCATGTGACCATGGCCAGTTAGCATTGTTGGAACCAAAGCTGCCATAGGGCACAGCGTGGTCAGCGGGAGCAATGAACCCCCTGTACCACTGATTCACCCTTGGCGTGCCAGAGATAGGTGGCCTGCACTGACTTGGAAGTATAACAGCGATTCAAACCACAGTCAGAAATCAAAACTCCTGGGGAGGGTGGGGCATCTTGTTGCGGGCACCTGCTGTGAGTCTGTGACGCTGCTGTCGCCTGTGGCATGCGAGACTCACCTGTCCTGTTCTCTGATTCAGATGACAGCGCCTCCGCGGCCAGCAGCATGGAGGTGACAGACCGCATCGCCTCTCTGGAGCAGCGAGTGCAGATGCAGGAGGATGACATCCAGCTGCTCAAGTCGGCCCTGGCAGACGTGGTGCGGCGGCTGAACATCACGGAGGAGCAGCAGGCCGTACTGAGCAGGAAGGGACCGACCAAAGGTGGGCACGGTGCTGGCACGGGGTGGGCCTTGGCCTCAGAGGGTGCAGGGGGTAGGTGGGCCTGCAGCATCAGCTCTCAGGTGCTTTGCTCTCCCACAGCACAGGGAATCGCCACTCAGGTGACAGGGGAGGGTCCCCACGGGATGGACATCACCGGCGTGGCTCATTTGTCCTTGACTCTGGGGAGTTCGTGGCCCGTTGTCCATCGAAGGTAACCAGGGAGAGGTCACCTGCTGAGGCGAGGAAGGAGTGTCCACTGAGGACTGCTGAGAACAGTTATTGCAACTCTGATAGAGGTAGTTGGCAAAAAAACAAAGCCAAACCCCGCAATCCCTGGGGCACCCTTCAGCGGCTGTGCACTTGCAGATGCTTCATGAGGCTCAATCTCTGTCCTCTCCTGTGCCTCCTCCACTCCGTGCAGCTCAACTTGAGCGAACAGGGAACACCGGCTTGGAGTTAAATTAATAATAGCACCATTATACACAGGCACAACTAACTTCCATTTCAGGGCAAGAGGAGCATTATGGATTTAAATGTAAAATGTAGGTTAAAATATGGTCATTGTCCCTTGTATCTGGGATTATCTGCCTTGTTTTGCATTAACCAGCAAGTAGTTCATATTTCTCATTGTAAATTTTGCTCATGAGTTCAGATTGTAATTCAGCAGCTTGCCTCTTATAAAACTTTAATTTACCTTTTGCAAACTTTTGGGGGGTTATGTTAATAATCCCATTAGTTAACAGATCAGAGAATTAGAATTACTAAATACAGCCAAAACCTTTTGGTAGAGATGCTAATAAGCAAGTCGGTTTCACTGCCCCAGGACATGGAAACCTCCAGTCTCAGACATAGCCCCCGTAGCCTGGAGGCGGTGGAAGCATTGTCTCTAAGCAGTCTCTGCTGCATTAATGCTTAGCTCTGAGACACAAAGTAATACTTGTAGCTGCCATTGCTGATGGCTAGTTGCAGCTGATAAACTGGGTGTATTAGCTCATCTCCTCTCTCTGAAATTTTGTGCAAAAGGTGTTATTATGTCCATTTTAGCTGATGAGAAAACAGCCTTTAGATGTTAAAATGTGTGGCCCCAGGCTACACAGCTAGTTAGGGACAAGTTTGAGGCTGGCCCCCACGCCTGGCTTGACGTGTTCTTTCTGTCATTCATGTTGCCTTGCTACAATATTGTTTAAATTAGCATTATTCAAATCAAACCAAATATTAAAGAAATGAGTAACTATACTACTCAAGAGTTTTTTTCTCAAGATTTAATTTGATTTGCAAAGTAACCCAGATGCAGTAGATCATAATCAGCACATAAATTGTGTGAAATATATGATATTCCCTTCATATATTTTAATAGAAAATCAAGTGCCACTAATAAATTAATAAAATGTCAGATCTTTGCAGCAAATGAAATTAATGAATAACTCAGTTCTTTATCCTGGTTAGTCAAAATTAAAAGCACATTGCCCCTCGCTTGTCTACTATGCTTTTACAATCTCTTTTACCTTACAAATGACTGGTTATAAACAGTAACTTCTGCTTTGTTTTGGACAGTTTCTTCTGTTTTTCTCATTAATTGCCCTCCCTACCTTAAATAATCATTCTTTAATAATGAAAGGAAAGTCTTACTAGATATATTTCATTTTCAGAGGCTGAAATGATTATTTCTAAATTGTGTATTATGAAAGTGATTGAATGAAATAATCAAATTAAAGTAGAGAGAAAAATATCTTCTGTTTTTACTAGGCTACCTTTATTATTTATCAATGTGTGGTCAATTTTATTTAACTAATCCCCCCCATTCCTCCCACTGACTTCCCCTCACCCCATTAAGTTTATTTAAAGGCAAATCTAAGACATCCCATATCATTGTATCTAAATATGTAAGATATAGGATTCTCTTTTCAAAATCTAAATGCCAGTATCACACTTAAAAGTAACTAACTCCTAAGTCTCGAGTCAGCGTTCCCATCTCCCCAGTTGTCTGGTGAATGGCTTATTCATTGCAGCAGCCTCTTGGAGATGTAATTCACATAACAAAATTCACCATTTGAAGTGTACCAGGCGGGGCCTCCCTGGTGGCGCAGGGGTTGAGCGCTGGGTTGCGAAGCTGCCCGCAGTCTCTGCAGCGCTGGTTCAATCCCAGGCTGCTCCCCGGCCACTGGAGGAGGGTCCCACATGGCATGCAGACCTCTCCTGCCGCCCGCTGCTCCCCTCAGCAGTGTACTTCGGTCCTTCTGCCTGCTCTGCTCCCCGCTCTGGCTCTGGTGGATTCTCTCACCCTCCCACGCTTCTGACTGTACCCAGTGCTTATATAAATAAATAAAAATAAAAAAATTAATTAATTAATTAATTTTTAAAAAGTGTACCAGGCGCTGATTTTCATTGTGTTCACAAAGTCGTACAGCCATTCCTACTGTCTAATTTTAGAAAATCTTCATCACTCGAAAGAAAGCCTGTTCCCATCAGCGGTCACTTCCCCTTGTTCCGTCCCTGGTAGCACCTCTGTAGATTCAACTGTTCTGGACATTTCACGAGTGGAGCCCTGCAGCAGGTAGCTTTTCTCCACAACTGCTCTCACTTGGCATGATGTTCCTAGGCTCATCCATGTGTAGCAGATAGCAGCACTTTGTTCCTTTTTATGACTGAGTAGTATTCCACTGTAGGGACATACCACATTTTATCTGCTCACCAGTTGATGGATATTTGACTTGTTAGTGGTTTTTTGTAGGCGTTTGTTAATGCCCATCTTTCCTTTGCATGCTTGCACTACCAATGCCTAAAAAGACAAATAGCTCAAGGGTGCAATTAACAGCCCCCTTCCCCTGTCAAACAGTATATTAAAGCATGATTTATGTATATTCTGATGACTGCAGAATCTTTTTTTGAAATTATATGAAGTGTTAGGATTTTAGATTTCTGGCATTGTAGATAAAAGGTAACACGTGATATCTTGTCTTTTCATTTAACAGTATGTCCTGAGGGTCTGCCCCCACCCCCCACCCCAGTGGAGAGATCCTCCACATTCCTTTCACTCTGCAAAGCTCTCCATTGTGAGCTGTGCCTGGCTTATTCAGCCATCCCTGTGGGTGGCCTTTTGTTTGGCAAATAATACCCCAGTGATTGGCCTTGTGAATAAGGCATTTGTATATTTTCCAATGTATCTTTAGGAGAAAGGAATGGATAATTTTGCTAGATACTGAAGCTAGGAATTGTCCCAGCACTTAAGTAATCATTTACTTTGCCATACGGTTTAGCTAAAGCAGCGGCCTTCTCTAATTCCAAATACAAACACTTTTTAAATTTGGACATAGATGATGGGGAATGCTAAGGTTCTTCTGGTCACACATGCTAAGTTGTAAACTTTGGATTTCGACAGAGGCACATCTCCGAGAGGGCCTGCAGTGTGAGGTTGCTGGGCTTCTTCTGAACCCCCGTCTCTCCTGTGGGAGGACGATACCAGATGACCACGGAGTGACTATTGAAAATATGACTCAAAAAAACAACAACTTAGTGACTTGGTTTCTGCTGCATCTTCATGGCATCCTCCCTGTGTCCCCCTGGGCTTGGTACAGGGATACTGACCACTAGACTCAGGGCCCACCTGATCCCGTGAGGCCTCATCGCAGCCATTTACATCCACAAAGACCCTGCGTCCAAATGAGCTCACTCCCTGGGGTTCGGTGTGGGCATGAATGGTGGGGGGGGGGCACTATTTGACCCAGTACATGTATTTTAAAAAACAAAAGAATGGAGATTGCAGTGGGGGGTGAGGAAGAGGGAGAAGCAAGAGATGAGGAGATGCGACAGCAAGAGGAGCAGCTCTGGAGTTGGGGAACCAAGGGCCCTGGTTTGGAGCTGGGTAGGGCACCGAGGAACGTTAGAGTTATACCCTAGCTGAGCAGTGGCCAGGAAGTGAGGAGAGAAGCTTCGAAGGGTAAGAAGGGTGCCCCACTGCCTGCAGGGATGACTGTGGTTTTTCCCATTTCCTTTTGCATTCAAAAAAAGACAGGAGCCTGGCCCAGCTTGGAGACCAAAAAGGTTCAGTCTCTGAAGAATGTGGCTCTCTGTAGATTTGTCAGTGTTGGTATTTTAAGAGTCCAGATCAAGGCAGACTTAATTCTGTGCTGAACAAAATAAATTCTGCTGGCTTTTTAATTCTGGAAGAGTTGTAAATTTCCAGAACAGTCACAGGATGTGCAGACAGCCATCAGTCCACCCACACCCAGCCCCCTGGTGTTGACACCCCAAACTCACAGCCCCTCGAGGTCAACCCACTGTTACTAATAAAGGGCAAGCTTTGCTGTGATTCCCGCGGTGGGTCCCTAATGTCCCCCTCTTGTTTGGGACCCCATCCAGGATTCTGTCTGGCTGTCCTGCCTCCTTAGGCATCTCCAGGATGATGGTTTCTCAGATCTTCCTGGTTTTAATGACCTGGACAGTTTTGAGGAAAACTGGCAACACAGTTCATTGACTGACCTTCAGTTTGGGTTTTTCTGATGTTTCCTCCTGTTAGACTCAGGTGATGGGTGGCAGGGAGGGAAAGCACAATTTTCATCTCGTCCTGTCAAAGTCATTTAATCACCATTGATGTTGACCCTGGTCTCTGTGAAGTGACGCTTTCCCCTACTTCCATGCTCGGTTGTTCAGAAGTCACCATGCACAGCCCCCATTCAAGGAGTCCTCCCACACATGAGGAGTTCTCTCACACGGGGAGTCCTCCCACGTCCGAGGAGTCCTCCCATACCTAAGGAGTCCTCCCGTACCTGAGGAGTCCTCCTACACCCAAGGAGTCCTCCTCCAGGACAAAGCAGGAGGAGGAGCTTAAGAGAGCAAAGTTAGTTTAGTTTAGACCTTTGTTTATCCTCCAGTCCCATGTTATTTCTTCTGTTGCTCCGCTTGCTCCAGGTCTGGTGGTCATGCTCTTCCCTGCAGCTGCAGCTCTTGTGTCCCTTTGATTTGCCCTCATCTGGGGGGTGGGGGCGTGGGCGGGGTGCTTTGTTGTGCTGTGAGCACATCTTTCCTCCTTCCCCTCTGGCATGCGAGGGGCACCAGGCCCTTGTCCTGGGCTTCCCTCCCTGCCCTGGGATCAGCCACAACCCCAGAGCCCTGGCTCCTCTGCTGCCAAAAGACTTAGCAAACCAAGCCTTGCTGCTGGGCGCCGCTGCTGTCGGCTCTCAGCAGAGCCAGGAAATGTGTGTTTCTACGCACCTGCGTGTATGTCCGTCTCTGTAGTCACTAATCTGTGTGTTCAGCTCAACGTGAGTTCAGACTCTGTCTCCTGGCTAATCTGTTACCACGTGGGCCATTCTAGCCTCTTCTGCTTGCTGGTCTGTAACCTCCTCCAGCGGTAAGAAACACCCCGCCCTCCCCTGGGTGCTCAGCGGTCCCGTTCTCATACTTATGTACAGGATTTGCGTATGGCAGTGACCCCTTCTGCGAGGCAGTGTCCTGTATTTATAACACAGTGGATTCCTTTTGTCACGATCCACTTCCCATCTCAGAGCTAGCTTTTTATTTGCATGCACTAAAGTCCACTCGCTTTGCTGAAAGAGCAAGCACATTTGGACAGATGCATCTTGTCAACACCCATCCCTGCCATCTATGGAGAGTGGTTTACCGCCCCACAAGGATCCCTTGTGCAACTTCAATCCCCCCATGCTCTGCACCCACTGGGCCACTTTCTAGATGGGAACAGACAGGCATCACACCATGTGGCCTTCGGACTGTCTCCTTGCGTTTAGCAGTGTGGGTCCAAGACCCATCCACGTAGTTGGTGGGACCGATTTGCTGTTCTCTTTGCTCGTTTGGCTGAGCCCTCCTCCACCGCGTGGAGACACTACATATGTTAATTCACTCACCAATTGAAGGACATCTTGGCTGCTTTCGGCTCTGACAAGAATAAAACTGCTATAAATATTAAATGCAAGTTTTGTGTAGACATAAATTTTCAAATCAGTTGGGTAAATACCTGTGTCAGCACAATCACTGGATCGTATGTATTTAGCTTTATAAGAAGCTGCCAAACTGCCTTCCAAAGGCCTCTGCCATTTTGCATTCCCACTAGCCATGAGCGGGGTCTGCTGGGGCCCGGCACACTGGCCAGCCACGGGGATTTTGTCTGGGTTTTTTTTTTTTTTTTGGACGTTAGCCATCCTAATAGGTGTACAGCGATATCTCATTATTGTTTTAATTTGCATTTCCCTGATGACAAAAGACGTGGATCATCTTTTCATATGCTTATTCGCCATCTGTGTGCCCACTTTGGTGAGGTGTCTGTTCAGATCTTTTGCCCATTTTTTTAATTGGGCTGTTTGTTTTCTCTCTGTTCAGTTTTAAGAATTCTCTTTTATATGCTGTATACAAATCCTTTATCAGATATGTGATTTGCAAATATTTTCTCCCGGTCGGTGACTTTTCATGCTGTTTAAAATGCCTCTCACAGAGCAAACATTTCTCTTCATTTTAATGGCATCCCAGCCAGCAGTCTTTTCTTTTAGGATTGTCCTTTCGGTGATAGATAGAAACACTCATCTGCAAACCCAGTGAAGGTGTCTGGGATTCCCTCATTGCTCTGGCATCATTTGTTGAAAATCTCCATTGATTCGTCTTTGCATCTTTGTCATCTCTGCTAACATTTTAAAATCGGTGTCCCCCTCCATTCTGCAGAGCTTAAATTCCAGAAAGAGTTGCCTTCACAAAGGGAAAAGTTCTCATTTCCTTTTCTGTTTGTTTTACAGCAAGACCTCTGGTCCAGACCTTACCTTTAAGAACCACCATCAACAATGGCACCGTGTTACCAAAGAAACCCAGCGGCTCTCTCCCATCCCCCTCCGGGGCCAAAACCACCGTGCCAGCAGCAACCAAAAGGTAGGCGGCAGGTGTCTGCCAGTCAACTACCAGTTTCAGCTTGATTATAAATTGTTACTTTTCTATATGACACTTTACAGTTTCTCTGAATTAAAGCTTATGAAAGTATTTGTTGGGTTGACATAACAGGACCTCTATTCATTGACGGTTTTTCTTTTTTTTAGATTTAGTCAAATCTCGTGGCTCAAACCACAGTGCATGTTCTTGTAGCCTCACTTAAAAATCTCTTTTGGAAAAGCAAATGGCATATTTCCATTGTAAATGTGAGTGTGCTGTTCTCAAGTCCACACCGCCGCACAGCAAAGTTCAGGTTGCCAGACCAACCTTCAATTTTTATAACTGTGGGACTAGCTTCTCCTTCTAGATGGTGCTTCGTGGTGGAGCTCTGCCCACTTTGTCTGTCAGACATTGTGGTTGGTGCTTCACTTACCAGTAATTTCGCCATTGTCATGTTACAATTTTGTACTTTGTAAGCCCGACCGCTTTTTAAAATTTTTAGACCCTGGAAAATTACATACCTGCTGGTAATATAGCTTAGAAGCCATGAAGAGGTACTGCAGTGCTGCCCTACAGCCTTGTGCTCAGAATGCAAGAAAACTTGAAAACTGATTAAAATGCCAGCTGCCTCTCATGTGCCAGGGAGGGATGAGCACCTGCTCTGTGGGGTGCTGAAGATGCCTGGTGAGCTTGCAAGTGTTAGTGGAGTTGCTGAGCTGCAATGGACACCTAGCAGCAGCATCTCTTCTCTTAAATAGATAGTGTCACCTTTATCGCCCATCCTTTACCAGTGCATTGCCACTGGTGCGGTGGGGGGGGGGGTGCCGGGGAGGCGTTGTAGACAGAGTTTAGGTGCTTATTGCTGGCAGATTTTCAGAAAACTGGTTTTGCAGGCTTTTCAGAACTTTAAAATGAAATTCTTGTCTTCTTTGCATATCTATTTAATGCTTGTTTGAATCATTTATCTATAATCAATATGAAATAATGTTGTGGATGCTGATTGACAATCGTAAATATAGACTAGCTTTTATTCCTCTAGATTTTAGATTGAGAAGACTGACTCTTGTAAAGATTCAGGTGGTCATCTGTCATGATTTGTTTTTCTGGTAAAATATATAATATTAAATTTACCATTTCGCCATTTTTCAGTCTACAGTTCAATCATGTTAAATAGATTCATATTATTGTGCAACAGAGCTCTAGATTGTTTTCATTCTGCAAAACTATTAACTGCAGATCCACTAAATAGCAATCCCTCCCCAGCCCATGGCAACCACTTTTCTAGTTTCGTTTTCTGTGATTTTGACTACTTTAGATACTTCATAGGAATGGCTTATGTCACTTACCATAACATCCTTGAGGTTCATCCATATTGTAGAATATGACAGAATTTCCTTCTTTTTTAAGGCTGCGTTATATTTCATTGTGTGTATATACCACTTTATCATTCATTTGTCAATGAGAATTCTGGTTATTTTTACTTCTTGAGTATTGCAAACAATGCTGCTCTGAACATAGGTGTGCATTATCTCTCTGAGACCCTGCTTGGAATTCTTTGCGGTATATACCAGAAATAGGGCTGCTGGATCATATGATGATTCTATTTTTGGTTTTTGGAGGAACTTCCACACTGTTTCCTATAATCACCACTCCATTTTATATTCCAACCAACAGTGCCTCATCCTGGTCAGCATTTTCTGGCACCCACTGGGTGATAGAGGCCATCCGGATGGGTGTGAGGTGGTATCTTATTTTGGTTTTGATTTGCCTTTCTCTTATCATAAGTGATATTCCATTTTTTTTTTCAACTTGGTCATTGTTTGTGTATGGAAATACAAATGATATTTGAGAGTTGATTTTTTTATCCTTTAAACTTTGTTGAAATTGTTCATTAGTCTTTAAATTTTGTGTGTGGCATTTTTAGAGTTTTCTACATATAAGTTTATCTCATTCACAAATAGAGATAATTTTACTCTTTTCTTTCTTTCCAATTTGAATGCCTTCTATTTCTTTTTCTTACCTAGTTGCCTGGCTAGAGGTGCCAGTACTATGTTGAACATCGTGGTGAGAGTTGGTATCCATGCCTTATTCCTGATCTTGGAGGAAAGACTTTTAGCCTTTCACTACTGTATGTGATGTGAACTGTGGACTTTTCATATGTGCATTTTATGATGTTAAAGTAGTTTCCTTCTATTTCTACCTTATTGAGTGTTTTTAATCGTGAAAGAGGGTCAAATTTATCAAAAGCTTTTTCTGCATTAATTGAGGTGATGAAGCAATACTTGTCATTCATTCTGTTAATATAGCAATTGATTTTCATATGTTAAATGAATTTTAACATGCTGGAATTCCAGGTATAAATCTCATGTGGTCATAGTTGATAATCCTTTTAAATTGCTGTAGAGTTTGGTTTGCTAGCATTTTGTTGAGAATTTTTGTTTTAATTTTCATCAGGGATATTGTTCTATAGTTTTTCTTATTGTGATTTTGTCTGATTTTGGTATTAGAGCAATGCTGGTCGCATAGAATGAGATTGGAAGTATTCTTCCTTCGATTCTTTAAAAGAGTTTGAGAAGAGTTGGTATAGGTTATTCTTTAAATGTTTGGTAGAATTCTCTTTGTTGGGAAGTTTTTGATTAATCCTTCACTGTCCTTCTAGTTACAGGTTTGCTTAGAGTTTTCATTTTTTTCATGATTCAGTCTTGGTAAGTTATGTGAAACATGATGCCAGTATTTGTCCATAGTAGTCACTTACAGACCTTTTTTATTTTTGTGACTTCAGATGAAATCTCCCTAATTTCAATTATTTGAGTTTCCTTTCTTTTTTGGTAGTCTAGTTGAGGATTTGTTGATTTGAAAATAACAACTCTTCTTTTTTTTTTTTCTATTTAACTTATCTCTGCTCTATCCTTTATCCATATCTCACTTCTGCTATCTTTTGGTTTACTTGGTTCTTCTTTGTCTGGCTCCTTGAGGTATAAAGTTAAGTTGTTGATTTGAGATCTTCCTTCCTTTTAACATGTGTTTACCACTATAAATGCCCTTCTTAATACTGCTTTGTCTGCACCCCATAAGTTTTAGCATTTTATATTTTCATTTTTATTTGACATTTGCTAACTTCTCTTGTGACTTTTTTTCTTGGATCCATTGGTTGCTTAAGAGAGCACTGTTTAAATCTAAGGGCCCATCAGCAAATGATTGGATAAAGAGCTGGTACATGTACCTAATGGGATGATGGTCACGTAAAAGCAGATGAAGTCCTGGGCCTCCCCGGTGGCGCAGCGGTTGAGCGCTGGGTTGCGAAGCTGCCCGCAGCCTCTGCAGCGCCGGTTCGATCCCCAGCTGCTCCCCGGCCACCGGAGGAGGGTCCCACATGGCGCGCAGACCTCTCCTGCCACCCGCTGCTCCCCTCAGCAGTGTACTTCGGTCCTTCTGCCTGTTCTGCTCCCCGCTCTGGCTCTGGTGAATTCTCTCACCCTCCCGCGCCTCTGACTGTACCCAGTGCATGTATAAACAAACAAACAAACAAACAAATAAATAAATAAATAAATAAACATGCCTCTATTAAAAAAAAAAAAAAAAAAAAGCAGATGAAGTCCTGCCAAAATGTTTATGATATGAATGTACCTAGAGGCTGTCTGCTAAGTGAATTAAGTCATATGGAGAAAGATAAACACCATCTGATTTCACCCATATGTGAAAGATAAAGAAACAAAACAAATGAACAAACAAAACAAAGCAAATTCTTAGACTATGAAAACAAAAGAGTTATAACCAGAAGGACAGGGTGGAGAGGGGTGGATAAGTTGGGTAAAATGGGTCAAATGTATGATGTAGGATGGAAACTAGACATTTGGTGGCAAACGTAAGATCATATACACAAATGTTGATTCATAGTTTTAACCACCTGAAACTGACCAATGTAACTTCAATAAAAAATTTTTTAAGTTGACCACAGTAAAAACATAAAATAAAATTCAAATTTGAAGACAGTGAGTTGTTTCATGATTTGATTTTTCAAAGTTGCACATAGTTAACAAAAATGAGGTTATTGCCCTTTGTCCTTGGAGAAAATAGAATTTTATAATTCATGCCTCTTTCTGTGCTTGAATTTAAATAAAATAATTTTTTCAGAGCAAAAAATTAATTAAATTTCTGTTTAATTTTCAGAGCAACATGTTCTAGGATTTTGTGGAAGTCTTTATTTTTGGTACAAAGTCACTTTGATATTGTACAGTCCCCTCATTTTATAGACATTATGTGGGTCTGCATCCTAGAAGGATTAATTGGCATGACTGTCAAAATTCCTGGCAAACTGTGTGTTGAGTTCTAGTCTTTGAAACATTTATTCAGAGCAGGATCAGGCTGGGAGTGCGATTTGACTGCAGGAATAAAACTGCACGATGGGATCTAATTGATACTTTCCCACAGGTCCTGAAAAAACAGAGGCAAGTGGGTACTTGGGCTCCTCAGTGCTGGGAGTAGAAACCCTTTACTGATTATAACAAAAACCCAAGTACCAGCTTTTTAATTATCATTAATCCTCACAACAGCCGTGCAAAGTAAATATTATAATCCTATTTTATGAGCAAACTAAGGCTCTGAGAGGTAAAGGAACTTCTGCTGTCCCATGACTAGGAGCAGGGAGTGTGGGCTCAAACCTTCCAGAATTCTGGGTTTGTCTGGGTCCTGAGCTCCAGCTTTCCACTGTGGTAGGCTACTTCCTGCAAAGATCCCAGGACAGCCCTTGCCTTGATGCAGAAAAAATGCTGGATATAAAGAACATTTGGCAACCTCCCTCTTGAATGCCTGACCTGTCTGGATTCTGCTTGTTGGAAGCAGGGACATTCTGCAATGCACTGAGGGACTGAGAGAGAATTCTGGAAGGTTGCAAGTGTGAAACACAGAATTGCCCCTTAATAAGGGGCTGCAGGGGCTGAACTCCATGCAAAGCACCAGACTGTGTGCTATGAGCAGATATCTGGGTCCTCCACCCCCACCCC